TTTTACCAGATTTAACATAATTTAAAATAGCATTAAATGTTGTTACAGCATATATAGAAAATTCTAATACATTGTATCTAATACATTACAAGTGTCTTTAAAGACTCCACGTTTGCGATCGTTGACGGCGCGCGCAACTTGTTAAAAACTATTGTATTTCTGTAAATAAAAAAGCAATCTTTCTGCAACTTTACAGAAAACTTCTTTACATTATAATGAACAAATGTCTCACTGGAAGTTGTTAAAATTTGAAACTTCCCCGCATACTTTTTGCAGACAAAGATAGGAAACATATTTTCCGACAGGGTTAATATTAACAATAAAAAATTGTTAAACAATTAATTAATTTTAACATTCTCATAATATTGTCGCCTTCTATAGACCCAAATGCATTTGTAAATCAAATATCAAGAGAATTCTCCAATTTCTGTCGAAGATACGACAATTTATGTTTAAAAATTCAATGAATTTTGGGAATTTAAATTTATGACATTTTTGTCATTATTATCCAAAATATTCATTATGCAAAAAAATCTCAAAGGAAAAAAAGATGCGCATTTTTATTCACTATAAGGTGGTATTTTTCAAAATTTTAAACTTCGAATTTTCATTTCTTATACTTTTTGGTACCTCTGACTGGCTTTCAAGTGACTCGCCGAGCATACGTCCCCTTATTGTATCCAAGCACTCAATAAGCATTGGAAGACACTATGATACGGCACTGCCTACCGCCCCACTACGACGCAAGGGGAAATCCAATACTTATCAAATGTTGTTGTCCCGAGCACGCGACACTTACCGAAATTGTACTATACAAGTACTTTTATATGAACACGTTTATGTTCTTGTACAAGAACATTTGTTTAAGAGGGGAGTGACACCTTTGAGGTCTCTTTTGAACCTGTTTTTCATGGATTTTTTTAAGACACAGGAATAAAGTAAACAAAATTTGGTTTTGAGGACTTTATTTATTAACTTTTTAAGTTTACGAAAATATATTTATACTTAAAAAAAGTTTCAATTTGTTGTCTATAGAGGCCGATAAAGTTGGTCTCGTTTCTCTGCAGGGCAAATCGGTGAGCAAGATTATGGTTTGATACCGGTCATTGTGTGTCGGGTAAATGACAAGCTCAAAGGTTAAACTAAACAACAAAAATGAAATAAGTAAAGAGAGTGTCGATCAAGCAGTGGCTGTTGACGCGTGCGTCAAGGAAAGTTCCTGGTGTCGGGCTCTCGAACCCAAACAGGGATCAGAGTGCTGTCCCCAAGAGTCTCCCGATGATTCGTGAAGCGACAGCTGTCGAGGTTAAATTTTAAGTTTGAAGAACAAAATAATTTTTACGATTGACAATTTGCCATAAAAAGGACTAATTGTCAATGTTTTTCTTTTTTAATGGATGTCCTGAAAAGGACAGATTGTTATGTAGGTGTTAAAGGTGATGATCTTTCACGGCCAGTGAAAGAAGTAACAAGACGATGGATTCCCAGAATAAAATAGTATTTATTCATTAAAATTTCCCTGTGGAGAACGGCGGCAGTTGACGGCTTGACAGGCGGTTGAGAAAAAATGGCGTCAAAAAGTGACGCGGCGGCTTGGGTCTCACGGCAGTGAGACGCGTGGCGTGGCTGTGACGTGTTGAAACATTGAGAGTTGGCAAAGCAGCAGGCCCGGTCAACTCCATTGAATAAAAATGGCAATGAACAGCGCCTCTACCACCAACATAACAACTAAATTTTACCCAGCCTGTATATCTATATATACCAAAGATATAGATATACAGGCTGGGTAAAATTTAGTTGCTATGTTGGTGGTAGAGGCGCTGATCATTGCCATTTCTATTCAATGGAGTTGACCGGGCCTGGCAAAGCAGAGAGAGCGAGTCACAGAAACTCGCTGTATTTATGTAGCGTGGAGAGAAGCGTCGCGCGTGGTACCCTCTCTCCAAATTGTGAGAGCCAATGGAGGCCTGTTTTTCCCCACCATGCGGAGCATGTGGAGTGCGGAGAAGGAGAAGAAGCGAGAATCAGTCGAGCGCGGGAGCTCATAGCGACAGGACGTCGCTTTAATAAAATAGAGAGAGAGAGAGAGAGATTTTAATTGTGCCTTCATGCCTTGCCGTCAATTTTGTACCGAACTCCGGTACAAATAGCTAACTTTAAAACTAAAGTAAAATAAATTTTAATCATAATATTTCTTAAGGTTATATTTGATTTTTTTACCTAGTATATTGTAAAAATATATTGGTCAAAATTATAATATACCTTAATTAATATTATATACAAAAATAAAATTATTATTCCTTCACCTAAAAGTGGGTGACAAAATGATATTTTAAAGAAATTTCCAGGGTCTTCGGATGTTTGATAAATTTAACAATAAAATGGTAAATTTTGTCAAACATCAGATAACCTGGAATATAATCAACTATAACAGGTTAAACCGTTTAATCTAGTACTTTTCTAAAAAAATTTCTGAATTTGTAACAGATTTAGCTTTAGAGTACGTAGGATATTTTAAAAATATTAATTTTTGTGGATTTGGCAGCTATTTAAAGGAAAAAGTCGATTTTTAGGGCGCAATTTTTTCAAAAAATATATTGCCAAAAACAAACAAACTAATAAAAAATCCGCAACGTACTCTAACGCATTTGTAAATGACGATGAAAAAAAACTTTGGCCGAAGTCAATCCGATCAAAACTGTTAGAGCTAGACTGACCACCGTTTTGAAAAATGTCATTTTCAGCCTTTCGAGCGGCTGTGAGCGTAACAGTACGCAATGGGTACCACGGTAAAAGACAAAATAGCCGATAGCGCTATCAATCACTCAAAGCGCTCTTGGAGTCCTTCTGCAGATTTGGATTTTTTTTACATAAAATAACTTCGAAATCGCTTTTGCTAATACATATAATTTCTATTCTACACATCATATAGTATCGTTTAAAAAAGAAATAGATTTTTTTCGGGTCAAAGGTGTCACTCCCCCTTAAAAATGTTTTTGAAAAAAATTTGAAATTTTAATAAGTTATATTTATTAAAACTCTCACTTATGCATGCTAAAAATTATTGCGCAGTTGTAAAGGCTTAAGAAAACTACTGCGCAGCCTTTAAAGTTTTTAATTTTTAATTTAAAAAACATAAATGAACATGTACAAGAACATGTTCCACATCTGGTACAAGAAAATGTACATGAAACCTGCACTAGAAAATATGTACATTTTCTTGTCCAAGATCTTGTACAAGTTCTGGTACAAGAACATGTTTCAATTCCGGATGCTGAACTTATTCAAGAACATTACTTGAACATGTACAAGAAAATGTACAAGTTCATTAATGAATATGTACAAGAACTTGTACATTTTCTTGTACAAGTTTTTTCAGCCGAGTAGTACCATAAAGATGAATATAATTTAAAAATAAAAAAAGCAGAAAATAATTAGAGCAAGAGAGATTATAGCCTAAATCACTCTCTCTTATTTCATATTCATTCATTTTTTCTTTACATTTTGAATCGATATGGGTGCGATTCCAAGTGAGATTTTGACTTTTTCGGAGTAGGTTAACCGATTGCAATGAAACTTTGGAATTTTGTTATATATAGTAAGACTAATCTTTAACGTAAATTTCAGCCTAAAATATTTGTTAGTTTACGAGATTTGCAATAATAACAAAAAATTTAAAACTGATATATCTTCCGTTCTAATAAACGAATTGAGGTCTACTTCTTTTTAAAATGTCAAGGAAAATGAGAGGAATAAATCTCTTTCAGAACATTTTTTTATAATTTTACAACTAAAAAAATTATTAAATAATAATTGAATAACTTTCGCGCGACTATCTAAAATTCAATCCCTTAAACGCTAAAATGATCTTACCTGTGTTTTCTTTAATGTTCCAAAGCTTTTATTGTAAATGTAAGTTTAACTTAAGAAATTTTATTAATTTATTAGTATAAACAATTGAGATTTCTGCTAGTTGACGTGCAGACGACATTGCGCACGCAGCATTCTCACATAGCCAACTGACGTGATTCGTGGACTAAATTGGCTATGTGAGAATGCTGCGTGCGCAATGTCGTCTGCACGTCAACTAGCAGAAATCTCAATTGTTTATACTAATAAATTAATAAAATTTCTTAAGTTAAACTTACATTTACAATAAAAATCCTTTGGAACATTAAAGAAAACACAGGTAAGATCATTTTAGCGTTTAAGGGATTGAATTTTAGATAGTCGCGCGAAAGTTATTCAATTATTATTTAATAATTTTTTTAGTTGTAAAATTATAAAAAAATGTTCTGAAAGAGATTTATTCCTCTCATTTTCCTTGACATTTTAAAAAAAAGTAGACCTCAATTCGTTTATTAGAACGGAAGATATAGCAGTTTTAAATTTTTTGTTATTATTGCAAATCTCGTAAACTAACAAATATTTTAGGCTGAAATTTACGTTAAAGATTAGTCTTACTATATATAACAAAATTCCAAAGTTTCATTGCAATCGGTTAACCTACTCCGAAAAAGTCAAAATCTCACTTGGAATCGCACATGGGATAAAAAATGCAAGAAGAAATCAAATCATTTTTTAAAATGAAATGAATAAAATAGAAATTGAAAAAGGAACAGAAGCAACGAAGACGGCCGTCGGAGGGGCTAATCAATGAAAATAGAAAATTCGATACAATTAACCTTGCGCACTAAATTATCGCAATAATCCTGTGTGCGACGAGCGAACAAAACTGAATAATTATAAAAATGGGACAACATAACATAAAGTTTTGTAGAAATTATGTGGATTTGTAAATAACGGTGTTTCCTAAAAAATCGAAACTTCAACAACATTTTTAAAATCTGTTACTTGCATATAGCACAACAATTCATCAAAGTATCAAGCCAATATCTCAAAACCTTTTTTATAGGGGTGACTTTTTTTTAGAGAATGCCTTATATCTATATATGATAAAAATAACATTAAACGCATTTCTGAAAAATAAATGAAATTACCTCAACGTAACCACTTAATGGAAAATCTTTTCTTAATGGGTGACCTTCGAATCCATAGTCAGTAAGAATTCTCCTAAGATCAGGATGATTTGAGAAGAAGATTCCGTACATGTCCCAAACTTCTCTTTCGTACCAATTAGCTCCTTCGAAAATTCCAGTAATCGAGTCAATTGGGGTCAATTCATCCGTGTAAGTTTTCACTCGAATACGTGAGTTATATGGTATCGAAAGGAGAATGTAAATCAGCTGAAAAATTAAATTTCTTAGTACAGATTGTGTAATACAATGTTAATTTATTATATTTTAGTTTGTTTTATTTTTTATCATAATATATAAAATAGTATACTATTATACACCAAGTGTGAGAACACCGAGTTTATTGAATTTGGTCCTAAAATCTTGTTACTTTTCAAAGCTGATAAGCTGTAGTTATTTTAATTTGAATTAAATATTCAAGAATATTTAATAATATTTCGTAATGAACGAGGGGAAAATACTTTGTGAATTAAGGTGTACACTTTTGTTGAATTATCTGAAGTATTGTGAATTGTCATGAATTACGTTAAATTACTTTGAATTATCTTGAAGTATATGAATTATCTGCAGTATAGTAAATTAACATAAACTTTGAATTATTTCGAATAACTATGAATTATCTTGAATTACAAGTATGTATGCTGACGGCATCGAGCGTTATGACTTTATTTTTGTAGAACTTTGACTTTTGCTCGCTATAGGCAGTTGAATATGTGTACAAAACTAATTATATAGAAATTCTTACATATTCTATGAATTTAATAAATATTTTTTATTATAAATATAAACATTAATTGTAGCTTGATATTCACTTAATAAAAAGCATTTTCTCTAAATTGGTGTTGCACAAAGTACTGTGTGCACCACGTACGAAACAACATTTTCGAATTCGTGCAAATTGATGATTGAAAACTTCACTTGGAGCAGCAAATTTTGCACTTGTCAGAAAACAGATTCCTTCGGTACTTGGTGCACAATATACTATTATACTTCTACTGTACAGCGACTCCACGTCAAGTGATCGCACCGATTTAGGTTATTTTGATAAATTTTTATAATATTGATAATTTGGGTTCCTTTAAGAACCAAAAAAAGAAATCCTAAGTATTTTTAAAAAATTAAAAATATGGCACATTTAAATTTTTTGAAATTTTTTTTTTGATTTATTATAACTTCCGTAATTTTTAACCAAACGGGATGAATTTTTTTTTAAAATACTCGTATTTAGAAGCTCTAGGGTCAACCGGGGTAAATCCGAACGCTTTTAGTAAGTTTCAACAATAACATAAGTTTTTCCTTTAAAAAAAAATACTTACGGTATTCTGGTACATGAAGTTGTTACTTTACTTCCATAGAACAATTTTATGGGGTAGCAAAAATTTTTGATAAATTACAATCGCAGGAAACTTAGCGTTCGTATTTAACTCGATACTTTGCAACTTTCCTAAAATACCGGGGTAAATACGAACGCCACTGTATTTCAGAAAAATCTTAGGGAAAATAAATTTAAAGTATTGCAATTGTTAAACTTATATAAAAACTCAAAAAAATACGATAATAAACCTATTATGTAATAATGCATCATATATAAATACAAAAATCAAAGACGTTAAAAATTAAAATGCATTACACAATTAAAACCTTCAATAACTTTATCAAATCATAACGGATTTTTGCAAAACTTGGTATAGAAAGTATTTTGGAGTGATTGTATGTAAATACAAAAATAAAAGTCAAATTTTTTAAATTCAAAATGGCGGACTTTCCTAAAACTTATTTTTAAAAATGATCAAATTTGCTAACTCCAAATTCGTAATCAGCGACCCTGAAACCCCCCGAGTAACAATTTTCGAGCGAATCCAATGAATTTTTTAATTCTCGTCCGACATTTTGAATTTTGAAAAACTGACTTCAAATTGGTAATTAGCGACCCCAAAAACCGTAGAATACCAAATTTTATTAAGATCCTGAAAAACTTTTCTCAACAAACCATTTGGCAAAAAAATTGAAACACTCCTTCGAGAGAACAGAGATTAAGTTTCTGCTTATTAATTACTAACGAGGATACGTATAGAAAGAAAAACTTTTTTCTACGTACTTTTATAATGTTAAAATAATAGTGTAATGAAATAAAAACAATTTTGTGTGGCTCTGATGTAAAAAAAAATTATTGAAAATACCGTTCGGATTTACCCCGGTTTTCCAATTTTCCTGGGTAAATACGAACGGTCTGATATTATTAATAAAATTTTACAGAAGGCAAAAATCAAAAATAGTTTCTGTTCTAGTATTCATAACAATCAATTATAAATAATAAAATAAATTTTTAGCTTCTTTTTCTTCAAACACGAGACAAAATACTGAAATAGTGTCATCTTTGATTTTCAATCTTTTTTGCAATACTCGCTAACTTTTTTTTATGCTGTTGCTAATTAACAAACGAAAAATGGGATAATACTTAGAATCTCTTGAAGAGGATCTGAGGTAAAATTTCTCATATCGAACTTATTTTTAAAAATTTTAATTAAGCTGAAATAATTAGCGTTTGGATTTACCCCGGCTGACCCTATCATGAAAAAAAATTTTGAAAAAAAATTAAAAAATTTTAATTTTTATTAAAAAAACAATTTTAATTGTTTAAATAATTCCAAAAGTATATCTTCGATTTTTTTCAAAAAATTCATGAACATTCTCTACAATGTCCTGAAAAATGTAAGACCTTGAAAAAGATGATATGTCTTATAGTATCCGAGAAAAAAATTATTTAGTTTTTGTAGCGCGTGAAGTTATTGTAAACTATATAGGTGCCTTATATGAGGCATTTCATTTGAGAATACAGGGTCATGTCTCGGATTTTTTTCAAAATTCGGTAAATTGTAGTGATAGTGGTACTAAATCAGTGTACAAATTTTGAATTTGAAATTTAATATTTTTCGAGATATTTACAATAACAAATTAGAGCAATATTTTTTTGCTTTACTTATAACTTTTTCCTTACTAAAAATAGAGAGAAATGTAGAGAATGTTTTTACGCAAAAGACCTGAAACTTTTAGAAACCAATTATTTTTTTTTTAAATATTAATTTTTAAACAATTTGTTTAAAAAATAAAATTTGTTTATAACTTTTAAACATGTTCTCCCTCATTTTGAAGCGCGATAAAAATCATAAATATTGTTTAAGTCTTAATAAATCAATGGTTACATTTTTGAGATAGGATTTTTTTTTGTTTTCGAGATATTAATTAACTAACAAAAGTGAATAAAAAATGAAATATTTTACGAACAAATAAAATTAGAATAATTTTAAAAATATTCTAATGCTTATCGAAATCCGCATCCAACAAGCCCAATATTAACTGCTATGAATAAACGAGTGTTAAATTTATAATTAATAATAAAAATTATTTAAATAATTAATAACATTTGAAGAAATGAAGACAAATTGTTAATTCTTTTTTTATTTGGAAGATCCTCCAATTCTGCGTCAAAAAAATAATATTAAATATTACTAAGAATCGAAAATTAATAATAAAATGATATTTAGAGAAAGACTGAAAAATACCATGTCAAGTAGGTAGGCAACCATTACCGAGTTGTAAATATCTCGAAAAATATTAAAAATTTCAAATTCAAAATTTGTACACTTATTTAGCACCACTATCACTACAATTTACCGAATTTTGAAAAAAATCCGAGACATGACCCTGTATTTTCAAATGAAATGCCTCATATAAGTACCTATATAGTTTACAATGACTTCACGCGTTACAAAAAGTAAATAATTTTTTTCTCGGATACTATAAGACATACCATCTTTTTCAAGGTCTTAAATTTTTCAGGACATTGTAGAGAATGTTCATGAATTTTTTGAAAAAAATCGAAGATATACTTTTGGAATTATTTAAACAATTAAAATTGTTTTTTTAATAAAAATTAAAATTTTTCAATTTTTTTTCAAAATTTTTTTCATGAAAGAGCTTCTTAATACGAGTAGGGGAGACCGAGGAGGAAAGTAACAAAATTCAGTTTTTTTATGCTAGCATTAAAAATATTTGTCGGATAAATTTGTCCAATATATTAAATGAAAGCTTGGACATTCACCTTTTAAATAAAATTTGAATTAAACATTTATAATAAATTGACAGTTCACAGTATAACTTTTACGCAAGCTCTTCATCTGTTACTTTCCTCCTCACCCCCGAGGAGGAAAGTAACAAGCTCCTAGGAGGAAAGTAACAGTATAAAATTATGTAAAATTCTTTAGACTAATGACTATTATTAATTAGAAATATTTTTATTAGGAACACATAAAAGTTTAAGTACACTTTATACTTATTTGGCACATATTTGGGACATATTTAGCACATATTTCGAACATTTTATGAATTTAGCTCATTTTTTTCTTAAAGATATTTTATGCTTACCTAGATCACAGGTTTTTCTTAAATAAATCTCTGTTATTCGTAAAATTAAATACGATTTGCTTCAATCATTAGTTAAAACATGGACAATATCGACAACAGGAGAAAAGTAGCGTGTTACTTTCCTCCTCGGTCGCTTTTTTCTTGTATGTCAACAAAAAAGTTAAAACTACACAAAAGTGTTAAACATTTATTAAAAATGTTAAATTGTTTGTTTAAGCACAACTTAAAGACAGATAATAAGGCTACAAAATAACGAAAGGCACATTTTGAAAAACAATAAAATTAAAGAAATACGAGACTTTGAAAATTTGAACGAAAACTTACTTTTGACGTTTTTTCTGCACGTCACACCGGAATCAGACCGACTAAAACAGTGCCGACTAAAAATATGTTTGAACCATGTCTATCCGATAATTTGTTTAAAAGTTATAAGCTTTGTTACTTTCCTCCTCTGTTACTTTCCTCCTCGGTCTCCCCTATTTTAAAAAAAATTCATCCCGTTTGATTAAAAATTATAGAAGTTATAATAAATCAAAAAAAAAATTTCAAAAAATTTAAATGTGCAATATTTTTAATTTTTTAAAAATACTTAGGATTTCTTTTTTTGGCCCTTAAAGGAACCCAAATTATCAATATTATAAAAATTTTTTCAAAATAGCCTAAATCGGTGCGATCACTTGACGTGGAGTCGCTCTTTATGAAATTATAGATGTAGATTTAGATGTAGATTTAGATGTAGATTTAGATTTAGATGTAAATTGAAAGTATATAAAACTGTAATATTTAATTTTTAAATACTACTTTTTTAAATAGTCAACAATGATTTTAAATAAAATACCTAAAATGCAATGACATTAAAAAGTTTTGTAAATGATATTCCAATTTCGAAGTTGAAGAAAAATGAAATTGTTTGACAAATTTCAAAAAAAGGTAAATAACCTAGAGTCACCGTAAAAATATAATATTTTCTTTACAGTACTTCAAATCTGTAGGACTTGTTGGGAACATCTATTGCTGTAATATCCACAATATTAGTAAATTGGGCGTTGTGATGATTCTTCAAAAATGAAATAGTCCCCAAAACACCTTCCGGTGCAATTAAAATTTCCAGCTCATCTCCTGCTACTATTTGCACTTTCTGAACGTATTTTGGCAAACAATCGGCCACATATTGTCCAAAATCTTTTAATTGTTCAATATCTGTTTTCTTTCGAATTGTCGCTATAAATAAAAATAAAAACATTTTTTAATACTTAAAAAATTTATATAAATATTAAAATTTCAATAATTGCATCCTCATGGAGGAAGCATTGTAATACCGAAATTTTTTGAACTCGATTTTTTTATGTATCTTTAAGGGATGTGTCCGGAAATTTTGTAGGTGAAATTTTAAGTCTAAATAAAGATAGGGAAATGTAATATTAAAAAATGATGTGTTTTGAATAATTATTCGCTGATAATTATTTTCAATAAAGAAAACTTGTGAGGTACCCTAAAATGGGGTAAAGTCGGCGTTTGGGGGTAAAGTCGGCCGGCGCTTTAAATCATTTTAAAGTTTAACTATTACTTTTTTCCAGAAGAAATCCGAGTTTTATTAAAAATGTAGTTAGAATTAATGTAAATTAATAAATGAAATACAATATTTAAGTGTTTAAAGCGCCGGCCGACTTTACCCGCAAACGAAACAAAAATATAGAGGCATTTATTTTCGTGCTGTAAGCAGAATAAAATCAATTATTTGGGAATTTTATTTCGTTCCAAATACGTAAACAACAATAAATGGGGACAGATTGTCGGGCCTGTTTACATTAAGTGTCCTTAGACACAAGGATATTATCTCACAAAATTAAGAAAATATTATCTATTATATATTACATAAAATATATTACATATTATATATTATATATTATATATTATATATTACATATTATATATTACATATTATATATTACATATTATATATTACATATTATATATTATATTCAAAGATTTCATAGGAATTGGAAATTTTATATATAGTAAATAAATAAAATAAATAAGTCCAATACAATAAAAATTGTTTATCAACACGTTGACAGTCTATTAGATGTTAAATAAGATTTCCGAAAAATTCAATTAAAATAAAATAGATATAGACTAAATATACAGGGTGTATCATAACCGGGCACTATCAAGAAAATATATAAATCATAAAATATTCTTTAACTTTTTACTCAATTATTATTCTCTAACAGCATCCGGATATTCAAGATATCCTATGGACGTCCTAGGGATATCCAATTTTCCGGATATTTCTAGGACGTCCACAGGATATCTTGAATATCCGAATGCTGCTAGGGTCATAAATCACTTATATTATAGCATGTCATGTCTCAGATTTTTTCTCAAAATTCGGTAATTTGTAGTGATAGTGGTGTTAAATAAGTGTACAAATTTTGTATTTGAAATTTTGTAATATTTTTCGAGATATTTACAATAACAAATTAGAGCAATGTTTTTTTGCTTTACTTATAACTTTTTCCCTACTAAAAATAGAGAGAAATGTTGAGAATGTTTTTTACGCAAAAGATCTTAAACTTTTAGAAAAAAATTACTTTTTAAAAAAATATTAATTTTTTTAACAATTTGCTTAAAAAATAAAATTTGTTTATAACTTTTAAACATGTTCACCCTTATTTAGAAGCGCGAAAAAAATCATTAATATTGTTTAAGTCATAATAAATCAATTGTTAAATTTTTGAGATGGCATTATTTTTTGTTTTCGAGATATTAATTAATTAACAAAAAGTTAATAAAAAATGAAATATTTTACGAACAAATAAAATTAGAATAATTTTAAAAATACCATTCCAATGCTTTTCGAAAACCACATCCAACGAGCCCTATATGAACTATTTTGGATAAACGGGTGTGAAATTAATAATTAATAATACAAATTATTTAAATAATTAATAACATTTGAAGAAATGAAAATAAATCGTCAATCCTTTTTTTATTTGAAACTTCATCTAATTCTGCGTCAAAAAAAGAATATTAAGTATTACTAAGAATCGAAAATTAATTATAAAATGTTATTTAGAGAAAGACTGAATAATACCATGCCTAGTAGGTAGGCAACCTCTGCCGTGTTGTGCCGTGGGGTGCTGAAACAACGATTTTTAATAATTATCTGTTAATAATTTGGATTGTTAAAAATGCAATTTACTCTGGTTTTATTTGGCTCAGAATTAAATGATCTTCAACATAAAAAAATAATTGAAGATTTATCTTCACTTCTTCAAATGTTATTAATTTGACACCCGTTTATCCAAAATAGTTCATATAGGGCTCGTTGGATGTGGTTTTCGAAAAGCATTGGAATGGTATTTTTAAAATTATTCTAATTTTATTTGTTCGTAAAATATTTCATTTTTTATTAACTTTTTGTTAATTAATTAATATCTCGAAAACAAAAAATAATGCCATCTCAAAAATTTAACCATTGATTTATTATGACTTAAACAATATTAATGATTTTTTTCGCGCTTCTAAATAAGGGTGAACATGTTTAAAAGTTATAAACAAATTTTATTTTTCAAGCAAATTGTTAAAAAAATTAATATTTTTTTAAAAAGTAATTTTTTTCTAAAAGTTTAAGATCTTTTACGTAAAAAACATTCTCAACATTTCTCTCTATTTTTAGTAGGGAAAAAGTTATAAGTAAGAGTAAGTGAGAAGATTCATATAGGGTAAGTCTGGGGGAGTTGGCCATAGTTTTTTTAAAGGCCTGTAAAAATAAGAAGAAAGTGATTTATGTATTAACTTTTTTTGCTAATTAAATATTGAACATTTAATTTACAAGTAATACTAGAAGTGATACATTTTTTAAATGTAAACAATCTTAAAATTAATATTTTTTAAAAAACACGTTTGGCCATCTCTCCCGGAATGTACGGAGAGATGGCCAATACTATAAAATCATTCTTTAACTTTTCGCTTTATCAGAATTCTTAATTTAAAGTGATTAATGTCTTCTTTTCTTCTTCTGACCACATTTCGAACATTTATCATTATATTCAGTGCAATTTTCATGAACCCAAAGGTGACAATCATTGCACTGAATCCAGTCTTCGATAAGCGCTCTCTGTTTGTCTGTCTCACCAACACAACAAGTCTACAAGGTATTTTTCTAAGATATCAGAGTGGTTTCCAATTTATTTTTGTGTCCTGAACACGATGCCGGTTTACAAAATTGCGTATCACGTCAGGATTTTGAGTAAAGTGGGGGTAAAATCTCCAAAACCCGTGTTTTTGAGAGTTTTCAGTATTTTTTTCTCCTTAACCTGACGTGATAGAGACTTCTATATAGGCTTAAATTAAATCTTATATCTTACACTTTAAGATTCATATGCGTAAGGAAAAAAAATTTGAAATTTTAAATAAAAATTAGGTTCAAGTCACTTAAAAAGATTTTTGGGGTATTTACCCCCATTTTTTTCAAAATTTCAAATTTTTTTAATCCTGCGTAAATGAGTCTAAAAGTGTACGATCTAAAATTTAATTTAAGCATATTTAAGCAAAAAAAAAGCATATATATAAGTGTCTAGCACGTCTGGTTAAGGAATAAACAAATAATGAAAACCCTCAAAAACACTGTTTTTGGAGACTTTACCTCCACTTTATTCAAAATCCTGATGTGATACGCAATTTGGAACCCGGAATGGGGTTCAGCACACAAAAATACATTGGAAACCACTCCGCTGTATATATAAAAAAAGTCTTATTTTGTAGACCTGTGTTATGATTGTTTATAAACGTTTTTAAGATTTAATTACACAATAGTGATTATTTTATTTGATCATATTTAAATTTGAAAATCTTTGTTGGAGTGTCTTGTTGTAATATATGTCATGAAAAATGTCATTTGCCACAGAATTAATGTTTTTTTTTGGCGACCACACGAATCTCAAAAGGGTGCCAATAACTTAAACAGTATGGTCATCTCACCTCGAAAAAACATGGCCATCTCTCCTAATGTCAGGAGACAAATTGACACAACTAATATATAAAAAATAAATAAAATTTTTGAATAAATGTAGTTATGACAAAGCTTGGGTCATGTACTTTACAAAAAAACATGAAATTCAAAATTATTCTATAAAATAACATGTCACCAGTGAGAAACGCAAACTCATCACTTTTTTCCGAACTAGTCAAAATAACAAATCAGATTTCTACATACTTTTTCGATATTTTTCGTGAAGTTTTTTCTTTTAATTGTGTTTTGCCACAAAACAAAGCGAACTAATCTTTAATAAGCGATACCTAGCAGCAAATTCTATAAAATATTTGAATTGGCCATCTCTCCCGTATGGCCAACTCCCCCGGACTTACCCTACTCCTTCTAGGGTTAAGATTTTTTTTTTGAATGTGTATATTTCATAATTTTATTTTATTGATTATATGATTTATTTCTTGTTTATAAAACATGAAAAGTAAAAAAAAATGTGATTTTTATTTCTGCTTCGACTTTTCTACTTCGATCCATGTAGTATAATTTTAATTAAAAAAATTCAAGTTTTATTGTTTCAAATTTTGCAGAATAAAAATTTGAATATTTGTCGTTTTTAAAAAGAATTTTATCATCTAACTTGAATATATAGTTTTGGTGTTATTCTGAGAATTTTTTTTAATGTCAACCTCGTCATTACCTGAAATTTATATTCACAAAAGAAAAATTAATTAAAATGAAATGAATAACTAATAACTCACGTCGTATGTCCTCAGACTTTGTTTCATGAGATGAACTTCTCAAAGCAGGAAAAGTAGAAACATAGCCTAAAAATCATTTTATTAAGTTCTTGTGTATTGTTACATAAGAAACAAGAAAGAAATTTTTTAAATATTTACGTTTTGGGGCAACACTGGTAACTGCTCGCGATACAGTTAGAAATGTCTTCAAAATTCGAGAAGCCATTTTTAATAAATATCTTTATAAAGACGGAATCACAGAGGAAAAAATCCTACTTGACGATTATGTTTTACAATGTCAACCATACAACAGCTGAACAGCCGCAACTCAACCATGATACAACTAAACCAAGGTTTCGCCACATGCAGATAAAACGTCATCTAATCAATTAGGTACAGAGAAACCTCTCATAAGACAATTTTAGGGTACGGTCACACCTATCTCATTCATGCACTGTGCATGCATGCAGAAACATTTGGCTGGTCACTACGGATACGGAAGCGCCTACAAGTCACCAGCGAACTATCTTGTTCGCGTCACATTTTTAGCTGTGAAACCGAGGAACGCGTTCGATGGTTTCGCTGTTTCCTTGTTTTTGAGTGACGATAAAACACACTGTACGATTCGATAGTTCGATGGTTCTCTGGTTTTACTTAGTTCTATCGTTATCGAAGTCTAAATTTTGTATTAAAAAAATAAATTTAAATTTAAAAACCGAAATATAATAATATATTTAAATTATATATTATTATATTTCGGTTTTTAAATTTAAATTTATTTTTTTAATACAAAATTTAGACTTCGATAACGATAGAACTAAGTAAAACCAGAGAACCATCGAACTATCGAATCGTACAGTGTGTTTTATCGTCACTCAAAAACAAGGAAACAGCGAAACCATCGAACGCGTTCCTCGGTTTCACAGCTAAAAATGTGACGCGAACAAGATAGTTCGCTGGTGACTCGTAGGCGCTTCCGTAGGTCACACTCACCCCGGTGACACTTGTACTATTTTCTATAGGAATAAACTCGGCTGAGAACTGACCGTCGCCACCAGTGGCGCTGGCTGTGTAGTGGGAACATTTCAATAAAAATGCATGGGATAACACAGAAAAATTTACTTTTTACTTATTAAAGTTTATTTAATTGTGTTTATTTGGGCATATAATTAATTTAGAAACTTTTAAACATATTTTATAATATAATTAACTTTAGAAAAGAGTGAAGTTTTTTACTTATAACGAAAAATATGTACCAATTCCTGGCGGGAAATTCAAATTAAGTAATTATTATGTACTCATCAAATATCACAAATAAAAGTATTTAACAATTTATTATAAATATTGTAAAATATTATGGAATAAATATCAGCAATTAATAAAATAATAATTTATAATAATAAATAATTACTTAATTTGAATTTCCCGCCAGGAATTGGTACATATTTTTCGTTATAAATAAAAAACTTCACTCTTTTCTAAAGTTAATTATATTATAAAATATGTTTAAAAGTTTCTAAATTAATTATATGCCCAAATAAACACGATTAAATAAACTTTAATATGTAAAAAGTAAATTTTTCTGTGTTATCCCATGCATTTTCATTGAAATGTTCCCACTACACAGCCAGCGCCACCGGTGGCAACGGTCAAATCTGGTCTGAGTTTCAACTCAAGAGTGTCACCGGGGTGGTCACACTTCAATGAAATCTAGTGAATGTTTAGTAACATTCTAGTTACAACCGAAATTTTTGGAAAATTACTAGAAAGTTACTAAACATTCACTAGATTTTGTTGAAGTGTGACCAGTCAAATGTTTCTGCATGCATGAAATAGTGTTAATTACTCATTAATTATTAATTACTCATAATTTAATAATTAATTACTATTTATTATCAAATATCTTACAAAAATAAAAGTCAACAGGATGCGCGCGCAACAAAGTCCGAGCCACTCGGACTTGGACTTGTACTTGCACTTGCCTCTCGGACCTATTGTAGAAGCTCCATTAGTCGGGGGTTCTCTTAAAGCAGGTTTTTCGCGTGAGGAGAAATTGATGCGCAGTGACCGTTTGCGCATGGCAGTCAATTTCAAAATAATGTTGGAGTTTATTGGAAATTATGTTAGAAGAAATAAAAAGATGAATATAAAAAATAGTAGAAATTACAGAAAGTAATCATAAATTTCTTTCTTGCATTTTGTCCATACCCAAAACTTTGGAGATTCAGGTTTCTATCTCAGAACGAAAAAATCGAATGACTATAAAGATGCTTTTATACCTCAAATTTCGATCAGAGGAACATTATTTATGGACCGTGAAAATGCGTGAAAAGTAATTTTCACGGCGGGTATTTTTGAATTGCTTAAAACAAAAAATGTTTTTTTAAGAAATATAATATTAAATAATTGTTTAAATATGTAAGAACACTGTAAAATATTGATAGAAAGATGATTTGATTGAAAAATTTAGCAAATTTTGCTTTAAAACGTTTTCTGCTACAAGAAAGTGTAAAAGGACGATGTTTGTGAAATGGTTTGTACAGTGCTTTCTTGTAGCAGAAAACGTTTTAAAGCAAAATTTGCTAAATTTTTCAATCAAATCATCTTTCTATCAATATTTTAAAGTGTTCTTACATATTTAAACAATTATTTAATATTATATTTCTTAAAAAAACATTTTTTGTTTAATTGTAATATGTTAGTTTTAAGGCGCTTGTATACCTCACCGATCCCGAGTATTATCGTCGTGCAGCATTGGAGTAAAAGAGATAACAGATAATTGTGTCTCTTTTACTCCAATGATACACGACGGAAGTATACTCGGGATCGGTGAGGTATACAAGCACCTTTAGTTTCGACTTGTGGCTAAGTATATCATAGGTATAGGTGACTTGACATGAAACTTATAAAATTTACACCTATACCTATGATTTTTTGTTTAAAACAATTCAAAAATAGCCGCCGTGAAAATGACTTTTCACGCATTTTCACGGTCCATAAATAATGTTCATTTGACCGAAATTTGAGATATAAAAGCACCTTAAATCAGGCCTGACAAGCCACAATGCATTATAACGACACACTCTGTTGTAGAACCTGTCTACCGCGGCGCTAGCTTCGCTACTCTATACAAACAAATTTTGTGTAAATGCAGCCACTTTACTTAACCTTAAAGCAGATTATTCTTTAACGATTTTAATAAGCTAAAAATTTAAATATTATTAATATAATTTGAATAAAAAACATAAATTATTTTTAAAAAAATATATTTTTTTAATTCAATTTTTAAAGAAAATTATTTAATTTCGATCATAAATAATAATTTTTTAGCAAAAAATTGTTATACCCTACCGAAAGAGTGGTACTGAAATGGTACTGGGAAATTGGAACTGAGGGCTCAGTACCAACTCAGTACTAATTTGGTGCATTTTGGTACTGAAATGGAACTGGGAAATTTACCTGCGAAAAGGGTCGAGTTACCGTTAATACCCTCATAAAAGTGAAAAGCGACTAGCTTTTTCAATATGTTTAAACTAAAACTTTATATTCATTTCAATATTATATTTGTTTTTCATGGATTTATATTATTTTCATACATTATTATGCATATGATATTTCCTTTGTCAGCTAAATTCAAAAATGATGTCCATTTTTTTATCAAACTTAAGGTATACGAGATAAATTATAACTTTTTTAAATGTAATTATTTTATGATAAATTTTAGATATTCATAATCTGGAAATATTAACGAATCTGAATATATATTTTTTAAAGTTGAGTTATTAAAATTACAAATTTTTTAAGCAATAAAACTCGGGTTAAAATTTTAATCCTTCAACAAAGGACCTAGGGGTCTATTGTTCAAGGAGGGATTGCAATATAATTTCCAAACTTAACAGAAATTTTCTACAAACTATTATGTTTTTTTTTGCTGTTTTACACGTATTTCGCGAGAGACGGTTTGTTGATCTTATATACCTTTAAAACTATTGTTAAAGTACTTTAAAAATGTCTTCTTATGGGTTATCAGGTAGTGGTACTGAAGTGGAACTCAAGCCAAGTCCAATTCAGTACCATTCCAGTACCACTCTTTCGGTAGGGTAGTCATAATTATTTATTGTTATTTTTGCAATAATTATTTAAATTTTATTTCATTTAGATAAATACAAATCGTTTTTAAAATATATTTAATTAAATGTAATTTAGAATTTTTTTATGTATATAAAGCGTGTTAATTTATTAATTTTTGCAAATAAAATTCAAAAATAATTGTATTTAGAAAAATTAATGTCTGTATATTTTTTTAAATAATTTATGTTTTTAATTTAAATTATGTTAATAATATTTAAATTTTTAGCTTATTAAAATCGTTAAAGAATAATCTGCTTTAAGGTTAAGTAAAGTAACTGCATTTACACAAAATTTGTTTGTATAGAGCAGCGAAGCTAGCGCCGCGGTAGACAGGTTCTGCAACAGAGTGTGTCCTTCTCTTGCTAAACTGCGCAGGCGTAGTACAATACTTTCCAAAAGTTTACTGTTAAAGGCCTAAGCAGAATAAATTCTTGAACGGGAACGAAAACGTAAGAATGGGTGAGAGAAGAATAAAGATATTTGCTATCCTTCTCTTACACATTCTTACGTTTCCGTTTACGATTGCGTTCCCGTTCAAGAATCTATTCTGCTTAGGCCTTGACTGTCATGTTCACGTATACATACTGTTAAATATTTTCTAATGAACCTGTACCGATAAAGAGGGGAATACAAGAATGAGACCTCTTTCTCTCCTCGCGACTTTCAATGGCAAACAGCCATTGAAGACAGACAGCCCCACCCAACTTGAACAACCTAATGACCCTACCTAAACGCTATACTACGCTTGCCCTACGACAACTCCACCCCCCTGTACGGAAGCGCACACCCGCCACCTCGTGGCAATCAGACAGATACTGGTGGTAAAGTAAGTGACATTATGAGGTTAGAATGCACGTGGAGAATTATTAATTGTTAATTTTCTCTTTATTAAATAATAAGATTAATGTTAAATAGGGTCAGTTGCGGTAAATTTAAACGGAATTGCTTAGTTTCGACAATAACATAAGTTTTTTATTTTAAGAAACAAATACTTATTCCAGTTTTCTTTTGTATAAACTTATTACTTACAATTTTTGAGTAACTTTGATAAAAGCTCATATGCTACGTGATTTTATTTATTTGGTCCGACATTGAAAATTTGAAAAAGTCTCCTATATTAAAAAGAAACAACTTTTGCCTTGATATGTTATAAAATATACGACCCAAAAGTGCTGTTCACATTCACCCCGAGTTTTCAAATTCTCGGGGGAAATGTAAACAGTTTATTA